ACTATCGACTGTTTATAGGAAGAATGAAACTATAGACTGTTTATAGGAAGAATGAAACTATAGACTGTTTATAGGAAGAATGAAACCATAGACTGTTTGTAAGAAGAATGAAACCACTGTTTATAAGAATGAAACTATAGACTGTTTATAGGAAGAATGAAACCGTAGACTGTTTATAAGAAGAATGAAACTATAGACTGTTCATAGGAAGAATGAAACTATAGACTGTTCATAAGAAGAATGAAACCATAGACTGTTTATAAGAAGAATGAAACCATAGACTGTTTATATTTTAGGTAATATTAATATGAGGGTAAATCTTTGAAGGGTAAAGAAGTAATTACACAGCAATAATTAACATTTTACATGTACTATAAATTAGCAGGAGAGATTATTTAATATAATACTGCACAAAAAATAAGAATTAATCAAAATCAACATTGATTGTTATATTCCCAGACTGTGAAAAAATAAAATGACATTTTTCAATCTATTATTCTGTGCCCAGAACAAATCTAATTTCTGTGAATTTCAGTTAAAAACGTAGTGGTACAATTTAAAGGGTTTAAATTCTGAAGATGAAGATTTGATAGTTATGATCAGTGACGATGGATAATATGATTCATAGCATTTTTAGAAGGGCACATTTTTTTTGGCTACATTAAATTATAATGCATCACAATGAATGTTGGTGCTGATGAAAAAAACTCCCATTAGAATTTAGTGTACAGAAAACAATTCATTTTTTCACATAAAACAGTGTCATTATGTAAGAAAGATATAATTTAAAAGGTTTACTTCATGATTAAGACTGATGTTGGTTAAAAAATTAAAAGTCAGAGAGTGACACTTTTAATAACTCAGTTAATTAATGACTGCAAATATTGATGCATTTATTTTTGGTTGATTTAATATTTGAATGTGTAAGAATTTAGAAAGTGTTTATGAAGTGAAATACAAATTAAATATTATCTTGTTTTATAACTTTTAACTAGTCTGTTATCAACACAAAGGTTTTTGATAACTTTACTTCTTGTTATAATAAATTAAAATACTGTTTAACCTTCATCAGTTCAAAAACTTTCCTAAATGAACAATAGGAAGTGAATCAATCAGAACAAACTTCACTTTTATTATGATGAATATAAAAAGACATAAAAAATTCACTTTTATATATAAACAAAATCCCATCAGAATAAAGCTCAAACACAAAAAATCCAATTAAATCATTAATTCACAAACAGAAAATAAGAAATCAATGAAAGCAGAAAATTCAAACAATAACTCAGAATCTTCTCTGGATTGTTCTCATCGGTTCAAACATCTCAAAAGTCTTTATTCATACAAAACATTTAAACCGAAACTTTATTCAGTTGAACTCGGATTTTTCTTCTGTGGTATCTAAATGTCTAATCCTAACCGTAGAAATAGAACAGGAGTAGAACCTAGAACCCTTTTCACTGGTCATCGCTGTACGTTGTCACGGTGACAGAAAGTGTGAGCGGGGGTGGGGTGGGGTTCTGTCCCCATGACAATGTTAGCATCAATTAGCAAGCTAGCTAACTAGCCATCTGTCTGCTAGCTTGTAGCTCGTATGGAAGCTAACGACTAAGAACTCCCCTTCTGCTCCTTTTCTTCTTCTTTGGTCTGAACCTTCAGTTGTCCAATGAGAGAGCTCGAGCCATCGATGGCCCCGCCTCTAAAAGACGTGTTTCAATTAGTTTTCACATTTTGATAATCAATTAATCATCATTTATCAATCATACATTCGTCTTATTCTGCAGTAAACTGAATCATTTCAGGACTCAAAAGAAGACCTGAATTCAACCTGAAGATGAAGAAGATGATGATGATGTCAACCTGAAGATGATGATGATGATGAAGGCGTAAACCTGAAGATGAAGATGATGATGAAGGAGGCACTGAAGTGTGTTCATTCTAAAAACGGCAGGATAAGTGAAGGCAGCCTGGTGCAGAGCTTCATCGTCTGTGTGATGAAAACTGATGATGAAGGAGGCACTGAACAGACGAAGCTCTCAGAGACAAAACAACATAAAAAAGATTCAACAGAAGGCCATGTTTTCAGTAACCACAGCAACGAGGTCATCAGAAGATGAAGACAGGAAGTGAAGGCAGGTACAGCAGAGTTACTGAAGAAGAAGAAGGCACATCTGAAGAAACCAGGTCCACCTGGCGGAGGCCCCGCCCCTTGTGCGTGTGGCATCAGTAGCTGAAGTTGACCTTCTCGATGTCCGAGATCAGAGTCCTGGCCAGGTAGATCCCCACCATCTGATCACAGGTAAACAGACACTTTAGGTACAGAAACCACTAGGAAGCAGTAGAGTCTATGGCCATAGCCATGGTCAAGCCCTACACCCCCGCCCGACCACTTCGCTCTGCTGCCTCGGGGCGATTGGTTGCCCCGTCGCTCAGAGGTCCCTGCGGCCGATCGACCCAGTCGCGGCTGTTTCCTGTCCTGGCTCCAGTGGTGGAATGAACTCCCCACTGACGTCAGGACAGCAGAGTCGCTGCCCATCTTTCATCAGGCTGAAAACTCACCTCTTCAAAAAGGCCTACCCTCAGCCTTCCACTTAGCATATACTTAGCATCTATTGTATTCATACTAGCTTATTGCACTTATTGTTTTCTTATTAGTTTGTGGCACTTATTGCATTCGTTTGTTTCTGCACTGTACGTTGGCTCTGGTTTATGCTCTTAGATGCTTGTTTGAGGAGGGGAGATGCACTGATGACTTCTGGTGACTAGTAGTTCTCTCGAAAACCGATGTTGAATACACTTATTGTAAGTCGCTTTGGATAAAAGCGTCTGCTAAATGACTGTAATGTAATGTAATGTAATGTAATGTCTAAGTCCCCATTGAAACCATTAAAACCACAATGTTTGATCATCTGTCTCAATGTTCTAAAGTGAACGTCATACTTTCTTCTCTGACCTCACTTGAAAGATTAGAGTAAGATTTTATATTTAAACTAAGACAATCCGTGTAAACATGAGTTTAAATACTGCAACAGTATTGTGTTCTGTACAATAACAGTACTGTGTGCTGTAGAGTAACAGAGTAACAGTACTGCGTTGTGTGCAGTAACAGTGCTGTCTTCTGTACAGTAACAGTACTGTCTTCTGTACAGTAACAGTAATTTCTTCTGTGCAGTAACAGCACTGCGTTGTGTGCAGTAACAGCACTGCGTTTTGTGCAGTAACAGCACTGCGTTTTGTGCAGTAACAGCACTGCATTTTGTGCAGTAACAGCACTGCGTTTTGTGCAGTAACAGCACTGCGTTTTGTGCAGTAACAGCACTGCGTTTTGTGCAGTAACAGTACTGCATTGTGTGCAGTAACAGTACTGCATTGTGTGCATTAACAGTACTTTCTTCTGTGCAGTAACAGTACTTTCTTCTGTGCAGTAACAGTACTGCATTGTGTACACTGCATTGTGTACAGAGTGTGTGCAGTAACAGTACTGCGTTTTGTGCAGTAACAGTACTTTCTTCTGTGCAGTAACAGTACTGCATTCTGTGCAGTAACAGTACTGTGTTTTGTGCAGTATCAGTACTTTGTAAATACTAAATAAATGTATACTAACCTGCAGCAGAGAGATGACGATGAAGACGATGGCCACCGTGTAAAGGTTCCCAGGTAACCAGTCCTCCAACGCAGCAATGCAGCCTTTATTGTAGATGTGATCCATCCACTCCTCCTGTGTAGAACCAGAGAACGTTATAGAACAGGTTCTATCGGGAACCATGAAAGGTTTCCAGGACCAGAGAACATTATTGAACAGGTTCTATCAGGAACCATGAAAGGATTCCAGGACCAGAGAACGTTATAGAACAGTTTCTATCAGGAACCACCAAAGGTTTCCAGGACCAGAGAACAGTATAGAACAGGTTCTTTTAGGAACCACCAAATGTTTCCAGGACCAGCAGAATGTTACAGAACAGGTTCTATCAGGAACCATCAAAGGTTTCCAGGCGCAACATGTTTTGGTAGCTAGCTAGTCGGATAGTAAATAATGTGAGCTAGGGTTCCTCTCATAAATACAGAACCCAGTAGAACCCAGATGGAATAGTTCTAATTCTGTTCCAAAAGACATGAGGTTTGACACAGTGTTCTTTAAGTGTTTATTGTTCACGTAAAATAGATTCAGATTAATTTATCTCTTCTATACTGTGATGTCACTGTGAGTCGCAGTGATGTCCAAACAGGAAGCTACATTTAAAGAACAGGAAGTGACCTCACCGTCGGTCTGTTTCTCACGTCGTATCCACACTGAGTGTTCAGCACCGAGTCCTGAAACAAACACAATCGGTTCCCTTCAATGAGACTGAATCACAGTTAAATTCATTATTATTAAATTGATCAGTGATTAACTCACAGCAGGATCAGTGATGCAGCAGGAAAAAGGAACTCCACACTTCTCTCTGCTGCGATGGGTTCCATTACAGCTAAAATAAACATTTAGATCCCAGTCGTTAGGTTCCTGAGCTCCACAGCAGTGGTTCTGTTAAATGAACAAGATAATAAAGGTTAAACTAAAGGTTCCTGAGCTCCACAGCAGTGGTTCTGTTAAATGAACAAGATAATAAAGGTTAAACTAAAGGTTCCTGAGCTCCACAGCAGTGGTTCTGTTAAAAGAACAAGATAATAAAGGTTAAACTAAAGGTTCCTGAGCTCCACAGCAGTGGTTCTGTTAAAAGACCAAGATAATAAAGGTTAAACTAAAGGTTTTTGAGCTCCACAGCAGTGGTTTTGTTAAAAGACCAAGATAATAAAGGTTAAACTGAAGGTTCCTGAGTTACACAGCAGTGGTTCTGTTAAAAGAACAAGATAATAAAGGTTAAACTGAAGGTTCCTGAGTTACACAGCAGGGGTTCTGTTAAAAGAACAAGATAATAAAGGTTAAACTGAAGGTTCCTGAGTTACACAGCAGGGGTTCTGTTAAAAGAACAAGAGAATAAAGGTTCCTGATTCATTACCATCCTCTGCAGAGAGTCGATGAGGTTCTGCAGGTCAATGTCGTCTCTGTATCCTTTCACGTTTGCCAAGAAGAAGTCATTGATCCATTCTCTGACCTGACTCTGAAACACCACGGCCAGAACGGCAGCCGTGAGCTCCAGGATGAAGATGAAGCCGATTACACCGGAAAACTGACCAAAAAACACACAAATATACAAACTTCAGCAGACAGATGTTTTTAAGGTACAAACTTCGTCAGACGGATGTTTTTAAGGTACAAACTGAGCAGACGGATGTTTTTAAGGTACAAACTGAGCAGACGGATGTTTTTAATGTACAAACTTTGTCAGACGGATGTTATTAATGTACAAACTGAGCAGACGGATGTTTTTAACGTACAAACTTCAGCAGACGGACGTTTTTAACGTACAAACTTCAGCAGACGGACGTTTTTAACGTACGAACTTCAGCAGACGGATGTTTTTAACGTACAAACTTCAGCAGACGGATGTTTTTTACGTACAAACTTCAGCAGACGGATGTATTTAACGTACAAACTTCAGGAGACGGATGTTTTTAACGTACAAACTTCAGGAGACGGATGTTTTTAACGTACAAACTGAGCAGACAGATGTTTTTAACATACAAACTGAGCAGAATGATGTTTTTAACTTACAAACTGAGCAGACGGACGTTTTTTAAATGTACAAACTTCAGCACACAGATGTTTTTAACGTACAAATTTCAGCAGACAGATGTTTTTAACGTACAAACTGAGCAGATGGATGCTTTTAACGTACAAACTTCAGCAGATGGATGTTTTTAACGTACAAACTGAGCAGACGGACGTTTTTAAACGTACAAACTTTAGGAGACAGATGTTTTCTCTTAGAGCTCCCACACAGCCGGCAAAGCCCAGGATGAAGGTGACTCCGCCGACCACCAGGACCAACCAGACTGGGTCGAAACCATGTAGCCGTGTCACCTGGGTGAGATCCAACAGGACCCCCTGTAGTCCACAACACACAAGTTTAAGAAGGGCAAACCAGTTTAGAACCAGACCAGTAAAAGAGGTCTAACTAGATAGATATTAATTCAATTATTTAGCCTCTTGTAAATGAATGATAGGTGTTTTATTCACTCTCTGGTTAATATGATAACTCACCTTTTCACTCCATGCCCAGAAACCAACTGCAATAAAGGCAACTCCAGCCAGCTGCAACACAAAGACACACACCAGCGTTTAGACAGATCCGATAACAAATAAACCAACGTTTAGACAGGTTCAAAAACACAGAGTTTAGACCAGTGGTTCTTAACATTTTTGACCCTGAGCCCCCCTATTCATTATCCAGATCCCTTACTGCCCCCCCACCATTTAAAAAGTAGGCATATTGTCTCCCCTGAACATTTATGTGGATTATTATAACAGATCTAATAACACACAAACGTTTGATAACAGATCCAATAACACAGGTTGACAAAGACACTTCTGGCTCCATCAGCCACACAGGAAACCAGCACATCCTGTCAGCTGACTAGCAGTCTGCATTTTTGTGGAGGAAGCAGCTGTTATTGGAGCGATTAGTGAGCAGTATATCCAGCGGCGTCATCAGACCTACGGAGTGGCCGTCTGAAGTCACGTTAGCTTCTTTGAGCAACTAATCTACTTCCTGTTTACACCGTCACCCACCCGCATGCCCAGTGTACGTGAATAGTCACGTGATATTCGATTTCAGGTGTTTTAGTCTGGACGGAGACAGCTGCTGCTCAATGGGAAATCCACCACTAAACAACCAAGACCAAGGGTAGACCGGGTAAAAGCGCTCCCAAACCATGGGACTGACCAAGCCGTTCTCCCCTGAAGAGCTCAATATCAGCATCAACACCCTTAAAACCGGCAAAGCCATCAGACTGGATTAACATTTTCACTGAAGAGATCAAGCATTTTGGACCTCTGATGAGGAAATGGATCCTCGAACTGATGAATAAGTGCATGCTGACAAAAAACATCCCAAAGATCTGGCAGAAAACCAGGATTATTGCCCTTCTCAAACCAGGCAAAGACCCAGCACATGCAAAGAGCTTCCGCCCAATCTCTCTGTTATGCCACCTCTACAAACTGTTTGAGCGCTTGATTCTCAACAGGCTTGCCCCTGTTGCTGAACCAGCCATCATACCTCAACAAGCCGGATTCCGACCTGGTAAATCTACAACAAGCCAACTTCTGAACCTCACTCAACACATTGAGGACGGATTCCAGAAAGGACTGGTAACAGGAGCCGTCTTTATTGATCTGTCTGCCGCATATGACACTGTGAAGCATCGCCTCCTCCTAAAAAAGATCTTGGAGTTGACAAAAGACCTGGCACTCACAGACCTCATTGGAGCCCTTCTGAAAGACAGGCACTTCTTTGTTGTCCTGAATAACAAGCAGAGTCGCTGGCGACAACAACGGAATGGCCTACCTCAAGGTAGTGTGCTGGCCCTACTACTGTATAACATCTACACCAACAACCAGCC